TCACTGTACTAGAATGGCCCCCACAGTCACCAGATCTCAACCCAATAGAGCATCTTGGTGGAACGGGAGCTTCGTGCCCTGGATGTGCATCCCACAAATCTCCATCAACTCCATCAAGATGCTATCCTATCAATATGGGCCAACATTTCTAAAGAATGCTTTCAGCACCTTGTTGAATCAATGCCACGTAGAATTAAGGCAGTTCTGAAGGCAAAAGGGGGTCAAACACCGTATTAGTATGGTGTTCCTAATAATCCTTTAGGTGAGTGTATGTTAAACAATATATCTCTAACTAAGACTTTTTACTTAGCTAGCTAATTAGCTACCCCATAATCTTGGCCACTGCCGTAGCTTGCAAAAAAGGGCTTTTTGTGCTACAGAACAGAGACATTTCTCAAAAACATTGTAGTACAAAGATTAACTTAACAATTAGAGAGAGAATATGAATGAGCCATGCCCTGCCGTCCTACATTTTGGAAATTTGCGTGCTGACACAGCTACCGTGAATCTGCTTGCAGCACGTCAATGCAAAACTGCACAACTCGGAAATAGGACTATCTTTATTTTACCCCAAAATCAATTCTGACGTTACAGACGGATAAATTAAATCACCATCTTAATAATCGATTCTTCACCATGCCTCGAAGCAGCTTTAAACCCCTAGTCCATACTAATGCCCTGCTTAGCTATCGATTGGCCTTTTTGCCAGAGGGTAGAAGTTGTTTTTTTATATAATAGCTGTTTTCACCACTTTTACGTTATTTTCCTTTTGGAGGAAGTGAGGTTTCAGTGGTGGTTAAGAACCACTCCCATAATCTCCACAGCAGTGTAGTGTAACCAAGGATTGTGGCATTGTCTTTAAATGGGATAACTCAGCATGTTAAGCTTCTGTACCTGTGATCAGAAGGTCAGCAGTTCAAGCCCTGGTCTTTGGCAGAGTAGTCGCATGTCTTTGGGCCCTTGAGCAGGGCCCTTAACCCCCAGCTTCAGGACTGCTGCATGCTGGCTGACCCAGTGCTATGATTCCCCAAGCTTATTCTCACCTGTCCGTGTGTCATCATGGAGAGCAAGATGGGGTGGGTGAAAGGAGGACTTCCCCACAGGGATTAATAAACTCACTGGCCCACCTGCTCACTGGAACTTATTCTCTCTCTCTCCATTTTCTCAACGCAGCCTTCATACTGAAAAGCGCAGTACTACTCAGGAACAGAGTTGCCCCTGTCACCCTGCATTAGGAGCCGGTCAGAAAGGAGGCCGTATCTCCCAGAGGGTGTGACGTGGTGGGGTGACAATCACCCCTTCTGAAAGCCCCCTCCACTCCCGACAACTTTCCTAAAAGGTTCTTGTGGAAATTGTGCTGCTCCATCCCTTTACGAGAACAGTTTTAAGTCTGAAGCTGGGGCTTGCTTGCCCATTTTCCTTTTCTCTTTAATAAAGTATCACTATTCTACATGGCGTACAGTGTAGTCTCGCACATTCTTCAGAAAGGTTAAGTACTGGTAATGTCTACCCGTCATTGAAATATATTATTTCATCGTTTGTGCATTTTTTGCATCTGTTCTGTAGCTCTGGTGTTTCAGTGGGTAGTACTGTCTGAATCCCATCTCTGCTCTATGCGGAGTTTCCAAGCTCTCCCCACACTGTGAGATTTTCTTGTATTCAGATTTCCTCCTGTAGTCCAGTAGTGTGTACGTCTTATTGTATGCACCCTGCGATGGACTGGCATCCCATCTATGAGGTTCACCTAACATAGCGTGAACATGAAAATTCCACACACCGAACTGATTCAACCCCCCAAAGCTGTATACTCACTGAGCCAGCATGGCACTGCCTTTAGATGGTGAATATTTGAAAACAGTTTCACAGCTCCAAATTTAAACTAATCCATTATAATTGAATGGATTGTTAGCCAGGTGTATAAGGGTGCGATCGGGGCTTCATTGCTCCACCACCAGTGAAGGGCACAGGGGCTTCAAAAAGAAGCAATAGGCAGTTAGGACCAAAGACGGACATTAGATCCTACGTATGTCAAACTCAAATGCAACTGTCCTGAAAGCAAATAACTCCTTGGATGATTGACCATGGTTTTTTAATATTTACCTGAAACAACCTGGCAAGATATCCCCCACTTTCAGGCAAACAGAGCACTTTACCAGAATATGCTGTTTGTTTAGTTGAAAAGAGGCACTATATAAACTGTAAGAATACACTTGAACTGGGTAGGTTTTTATTTCAAAATGCTGTAACAGAAAACTCACTCACACAAATTAGCAAGAAATTGCAACCAGGCATCATGGTCACTGTATGTCATTTTGAGATATGTACAGCAGTATCTGGAACTGAGTCTTAGAACTTTTTTATTTAAGCAATTATTTTAAAGTATTTTTCAATTTGAAAATTATAATTATGAATATATATTTTTGGTGGGTGTTGTGAGTTTTGTGCGTGATGAGTAATAAGAAAATTAATGGAAAATAGGTAAAAAGGTAAAGGATTTAACTAGAAAACTAAAACTTTTTGATGAGCATTTCAGTCTTCTGTGCATGTGGAAGTAATTCCCAGCCTGATTCTGTTAGGACAATCTTGTTGGATGCCAAGCAGAACATAGCAATCAAACCCCCCCCCCCCCCATTCCATGAATTCATTAAATATCACCACCAGCACACTGTATATGATGTTTAGACACATACAGTAGTTTTTGAACTGATTCACATACGGTTCTGGGACCAGTCATCTGCCACTACCACGGACGCAGGTGTTTTGCTTATTAAGACAATAACTCAAAAACAGTTTTCTGGATCTTTCCCAAACTTTGCAGAACCATTGTATGGGTGACAAACTAGTACTGATTCACTGAATCACCCCAAAACTGAAGCAGTGTCACATAGTGATAGCAAAAAGGGCATTTTTGACACTGAGTCTGTTAAGACAATAATTCAAATAGTTTTGGACAGATCTTTTTCAAACTTTGTAGAGGACTTTTATTGAATTAGATGACATAATGCTTAATTGCTGTCATATAAATAAAATGAAGCTTTGTTTGGACAAGTGCCAGATCTAGCAGAATAAAACAAAAATTGAACTGAGGGCTATATTATTCATTATGAAACCGTATTTGCACACTTCACTCCAGCTTCTGGATTTTTAGCCATGTTTTCTTTAAGCAAGAACACAAATAACTAAAACATTAAATTTATTTAAATTTAAAAATAACTTGAGGGCTCAAAATATCAAACTGAGGACACAAAAAAAATTAATTCATGTGCACATTTTAAGGATTTTGTGATGTAGTATTTTGTGAGAACATTAAACACATTTGTGCGTACGATTTAATGGATCATGGCCATGTACATACCAATAGTGTATCTATTATAATTCTACAACTGTTTATAACTTGTATTATACTTATAGTTATAGCATATTCATAACATACCTTTATACCGTGTACATTGTAATATACCCGTAATAGACTCATATTTTTGTACCCTAATATCTATAATAGACCCATTTTTGAAATATATCTATATATCTATATTATTGCTAATATATATTTTGTAAATATTATGGCTAAAGCACTTCTGGATGGATGCAAACTGCATTTCGTTGCCAGGTACTTGTGACATGTGCAATGACAATAAAGTTGAATTCTATTCTATTCTATTCTATAGTCCTTACTGTTATGTCACAGAAAATGTTGGTCAAAGTGCAAATGAGGAATGCATAGACAGATAGACATATAAAAATAAGAAAAATATAAATGACATTTTAAGACATTGACATTAAGACATATGCAGTAAATGAATAGGTATAGTTTCACACCAGCATGTTACATGAAGAACTTGGAGCCTTAAGTTAACAACATATTTATTGGCTTTCACATTTTCAGTTGATCTGCCCAGTACTTCTAGAAATTGTAGAGGTTGGTGAGTATGTGGGGCACATAGATCAGATGGACGGAGCAGGTGACGGGGCTGTCCGGGGAATACAGTGCTGTCACTCCATCATCCCCCCGTTCGAGTAGAATACCAGACGTGCTGCTGCATTGTGAATCATATGGAGCGGTTTGACAGCACAAGCTGATAAACTGCAAAGAGAGATGCGGTAGTCTAGTCACAAGATGAACAAGTGCCTGAGAACTGGATACTCAAATAGAAAATAACTATTTGACAAAAAATATAAAAATGGTTATATTCAGCTGTGGCTGAGGTTAAATACACTATATGGACAAAAGCATTAATCAATGAATCCACAGGTGTATAAAGTCAAGCATCTATCCATGCAGGTTACAAACATTTATGAAAGAATGGATCATTCTGAAGAGCTCAGTGAAGATATTCCACGGTCAACTGTACATTGTATTATTGCAAATTGGAATCGTTTAGGAACAACAGAAGCAGCCATGAAGTAGCAGACCGTGTAGAGTAGCAGAGCAGGCTTGCCGAGTGATGAGGCGCATGTAGCATAAAAATCACCAACGCTCTGTTTACTAAATAACTGCAGAGTTAAGCTTCCTCTGGCATTAACCCTGGCAAGGCAGGAGCTCCGTGGAATCAGCTTCCCTGGCCGAGCAGCTGCATGCAAACCTCACATAACCAAGCTCCACACCAAGTGTCAGATGGAGCGCTGGACTCTGGAGCAGTGGAAACGTGTTCTGTGGAGTGACAAATCACGCTTTTCTGTCTACAGAACTAAGGGGCCCAGCCCCTGAAAAACAACCCCCCTAACCCAGACTTGTACATCAGTTTGCTGGACAGAAAGAGGTGGAGATACCCAACCAGTTGAGTACTCCATAACTGAGACTCTTTATACTCAACTGGTTGGTTGAAACAAAATCTTGGTCTGGATTTGTACTCTCTGATCCTGAAATCTCCACCTCTCTCTGTCCAGCAAACTGATGTACAAGTCTGGGTTGGTGGGGTTGTTTTTCAGGGGCTGGGCCCCTTAGTTCTAGTGAAGGGATGCTCCAGCATACCAAGACATTTTGGACAACTCTATGCCTGCAACTTTGTGGGAACAGTTTGGGGAATGATCTTTTCTGTTCTATTGTGACTATGCCCCAGTGCACAAAGCAAGGTCCATAAAGACATGGTTTGGTGTGGAAGAACTTGATTGACCCACACAGAGTCATGACCTCAACCCCATCGAACACCTTCGGGGGTTTGATGTTAAGGAATATTAATCATGTACCCCCAGGGATGTGGGCTCAGTTTCCACCCACCATCACCAGCATGGAACTGGGGTGTTCTTCCACTGTCTGTGTGGGATTCCTCCTACAGTCCAAATATGAGTGGTTTTGGTGGACATATGTCTTCTAGTGTGTGGCCTCTTACTGACCAGGGTATCCCTACCACACCCCATGTACTTCCTGGGATAAGATTCAGGCTCAGTACTGACCCTGCCTTAGGTGAGTGTTTACTCTGCATCTACGTATTAGATACGTATCATTGCATTTTCACAGTTAGTAAGGTTAACTTCAGCACATATTACAGATGCAATTCAATGTTCAGAAACATTGTTTAAGATGGAATAATTATGAGCATTGAAAAAGAGATGATATAAAATGACCCACATGACTGCTGCTAATTAAAAGAGAGTCTACAATATTTAATTCTGCTAAAAAGCATAAGTGATTACACTAGTGCATGGTGATTCACCATTCAGCTAGATTCCTTACAGCGGTATTGTACGTATTATTGCTTGTCATTTTGTTTTTAATTTATTTATAGTTTATTTTACTTATCTTTTATAACTTGTAGCATTGGTGGGAAAGCAAACAAAATTATATTGTATATGTAAATTAACAGTAAAGATATTCTATTCTATTCTATGAAGAAAAACAGTGCTTATTTATCCCTCTTCACTGGCTGAAATGTTTACTCTTTGGCAGGGCAATGTCCTCTCTGACGTAACTTTAGATCTACACTTGTGACTCCAAAACCAAACATTTTATGCTATTTCAGTTTTTACTTTTAAAAACAAAAAAAGTACATATGTCTAAGATACAGTGAAATTTTAAAAGTTTGCATACTAACTGATGTTCATAAACCAATGGCGACCATAAGGAAAAGCAGTGTTACCATCAAGAAAGAAGAACTAAACATCAGTAAATCCATTCTGGAAATAATTAACTTCCAAAAGTCTATTTAAGCTCAGCACTTGCCAAATAAAATCAGGCATTTTGCTCTACTCCATTACATTTTTAGGTTCCTAACATGCCATTTTTCATTTCTTTTTCAGCTTTTCATTTATTCTTCATTGTTTCATTATGTATATACTTCACTGGAGTTGCAGCACAGAAAGGTAAGGGATCTAACTACTTTCTTTTTATTGTCTTACACTGGATCTCATTAGATCCTTTTGTCAGTAGTACTGTATATCAAGGAAGCTTGAGACAGCTATGTGAATGTTTTTCTAAACAATGAGGATTGAGAATGAGGCTGTTAAAAACGTTGCGAAAACGTCTAATCAAAGTCTGAAACCTAAACCTCACTGAGACCGCAGCGGTGCCTGAAAATATCTGTTTTTGAAAACCCACTAATGCTTCTGAGCCAAAGCAGTTGTGCGTGGAGGTTTGAACTGAAATCTCTCCAAATTAATGTACTGTACGTAAGACCCTGGCTAACAGCTACGGGAAACATTCAGCTCCAGCCATTGATGGCTCAATCACATTTGACTATGAGGGTGCAATAATTATTTTGATATTAAGTACAGTATCCACTGTAACTCTGACCAGGAAAAGCAGTTATAAGATGACTGAAAGGACAAATAAATGAAGTACACCTTCTTCAACTTTATTTACGTGGGCTTTTTTATCGACAGAATTTGGTTAAAGAGTTTTTTGCATTCACTGGAAAATGTGCAAAAGGAGCTAAGGAAATAGCAAATGTGTTTCGCAGCACGATTCTCACCTCTGCAGAAATGTGTGCATATTGTATTTCGATTAAATATTTTCCAATTAAATATTTATTTAATGACGCACACATTCATGTTGCATTCGCTGTATCATATGCTTGTCTTCCCCTCCCCAATATTCAACTCATCATTTTCATATCAGCATCTTCATTGATTCTGTCATTGTTGATCTCCATCTTTTTCGTTGACAGGTTGCCCTGCTAGAAAGATTCCTGAACTTCAAAATGCTGAAAACCGTTCAGATTTGAAGGACCAGTACATTCACGCAGAATCTGTGCGATTCGCTTGTAACACTGGCTTTGTGGGTTTTTTTCGAGTAACATGCAGAGATGGCGTTTGGTCAAAAAGCGGACGGTGCCAAGGTAAGAGGAAGCGTTTTGATGATGATGTGTTTTGTAAATATTTTGCTGCCTCAACTGCCATATTTATGATCCGTTTCCCCGTTTTTTTTTGTTTATTTTTTAGCAAAGCAGTGTGGCCACCCTGGGGATACATTAAATGGGGACTTCACGCTTATAGTTGGAGACGACTTTGTATTTGGATCATCGGTTCAATACACTTGCAGAAAAGGGTATTAGGGCGTAGAAGAATCCAAAATTATTCTTTTAAACTTCAACTGCATAAATTACATATTAAATAATACACATTCATCAAACCTTTATTTTTTGAATGTCTGAATTTTCATGAAAACGGAGGTTAAACGCAGATGTCCATTAATATCTGAATTTGTAACTCATGCAGTTGTTTTGCTGTTTTGTTATATAACATCCATTCAGAAAGAAATTATTTATGTGACTTGTGATGATACTTTAAACAGTGTAAGTGTGAGGTAACAAAAATGACATACCGTTATATTTTATTACTCGGGTTTTTAGGTACACGATGGCGAGCAGGATAAGTCATCGCACGTGCCTCCTCATTGGATGGGATAATATTGTGCCTTTTTGTGAAGGTAATAAATGTATTGTTAAATTTTTTTTAAAGTAGTTCAACAAGCAGTAACAGTAAATAATTTGATAAGCTTCTCAGGGGGTGGAAAAATAGATAAGTTGACTATACCAAAGTTTTTGGTTATTATATGTATCTTACACATGTATGTTTTTATTTCTTAATTGTTTTACTCCAACTTCTTCATTTTAGTGGTGAAATGTGAGCCACTGAATCCATCTGAGCAACTGGATGTATCGGGAAATTTTGAAGCTCCCCAGTATAGTGATGTGGTAGAATTTGAATGCAACTCTCCTGCAGAGAAACTCAATGGACCAAGACAGATATATTGCACTGACACTGGTGATTGGAGCGGACAAATCCCAACATGCCAAGGTAAAAAAATTGTAAATAATGAAAACAGACAGACAGACAGATAGTTGTCGGGGGCCCCAGTGTTGTCGGGGCCCCAGTGTTGTCGGGGCCTTAGGCAACTGCCTACCCTTGCTTTCTGGTACCATCGCCCTTGAGCATCATGCAGGTCCTGCAGATTTGTCGGCGAATCTCCTGCTCCACCACATCCCATAGGAGCTCTTTTCGATTGAGATCTGGTGACTGTGGGGGCCATTTGAGTGCAGTGAACTCATTGTCATGTTCAAGAAACCAGTGTGAGATAATAGGAGTTTTGTGACGTGGTACGTTATCCTGGAAGTGGCCATTAGAAGCTGGGCGCACTGTGGTTATAAAGGGAGGGACATGGTCAGCAACAATACTCAGGCAAGCTGTGGCATTTAAATGATGCTCAATTGGTACCAAGGGGCCCAAAGTTGCCAAGAAAATATCCCCCACACCATTACACCACCAGCAGCTGCAACCTGAATTGTTGATATAAAGCAGGATGAATCAATGCTTTCATATTGTTTTCACCAAATTCTGAATCTATCATCAGAAATTGAGACGTATCTAACCAGGCAACGTTTTTCCATTGTCCATTTTTGCTGAGCCTGTGCCCACTGTAGCCTCAGTTGCCTGTTCTTAGCTGACAGGAGAGGCACCTGGTGTGGTCTGCTGCTGCTGTAGCCTGTCTGCTTCAATGTTCAATGTGTTGTGTTTTCAGAGATGCTCTCCTGCATACCTGGGCTGTAATGAGTGGTTTTTTGAGTTAGTGTTGCCTTTCTATCAACTTCCCGTTCTCGGACCTAAGTTCCCCCCTTGCACAGTCACCGCCTCACACTTAGCACATTTCTTTTGTAGCATATTCTAGTGTATGTAAGCACTAGAGATGGTTGTGTGTGCAAATCCCAGTAGATCAGCAGTTTCTCGAACACTCATATCAGCCTGTCAGGCATCGACAACCATGCCACGTTAACTTAAATCACCGTTGTTCCCCTTCTGGTGTTTTATGTGAGCATTATCTAAAGTTCTTGACCTGTATCTGCATGATTTGATCTATTTATCAGCCTAAACTCTTCAAGGACAAGGTGCTGGAAACCTTCCCTTTAAAGTCTGGGCCATGATTTGTTATATGTAGGTTTTACTGGTAGCCTTCCTGTTGGCATTAATGAGTTTAGTCATTTCCCTCCAACCATCCTCGTCTTCGGGATCTTTGGTTTGTCGCACCAGTTTTACACACAGTGAATGAAACCCTGTCTTGGTGTGTTGGGTGTGTTGAGTCACAGACATATGATTCCGTTTGTGGGAGGAGACTGTTACCTTCAATTAGCAAGTGTAGCTAAGGAAGTCGCCAGTGATATGATGATGTCATTTTAACAGTTGGCTTTTTTCCCTAAGAAATAACATGCACACGCCCGGAAATACCAAACAGTATACCCGACGGTAAGAACAACGTATATAAGAAAGACGACATTATAAGATTTCAATGTGTGGAAAACTACAATGCTGTTGGAAGTGGGATTGCCAGGTGCAGCAGAGACGGTTGGACCATGTCAGTCCGTTGTGAAGGTAACCCCAGTCCATGCAACCACACTGGTTTAGTGCCTCAGGGTTGAGTCAAGGGTCCCCTGGGAAAACATTATTATTTCTTTGTAATTCATTATTTTATTTATTACTATTCATTATTAAACCTCCTCTTAACAAGATTAGTCCCATTGGGATTTAAGACCTCTTTTATGAGAAACACCTGGCCGCAGTAGCAACAATAAAAATAGTTTTCTTATAAAGAAATATCACATTTAATATTAACATGAATGTTATAAAGAGAACAACTTCACATTCAGGACAACCAAGCTAAAAAACACAATAGCAATTTCTAAGTATTATTCACTCAGTAGTAACAAATACACTCACAATCCCACAGGTATTACAGCTTACAATTCATTTAAAGTAACCAGTTTAAGGTCATTCATTAAGCTATTTTGCCCAAATCCATCTAAATTTTATGACTTTATTTATTTCTATGCTATACACCAGAGCCAGTGATGTTATGAAAACAATGTATCATTTATTTCTTTAAGAAGGTGGTCTAGAATATAAAGGTATATAACTGGTGCCATGCATTTTAATGAATTAATTGTATTTAATTTATTCTGAAAGACCTTTGGACTTTTTCAGTTGTTTTAATGCTATTTTACTTTGTTCATGGTATAAACCTGTGTATAGATTCATTTCAGTGATTTCCTTTGCAGAATTCACATGTAAAGTACCCGATGGACAGTTTTTGAACTTTACCTCATTCCATGCCACTGAATATAAAGTTGGTGAAAAGGTTAATTATGTCTGTTTGGAAAAATATAAAAAACGAGAACCATTTGCCACATGCACACTGAACAACTGGAGACCACAAACAATGTGTGAAGGTAGGAGTTTTACTAGCTACTGTACTATTGATACTGCATGTCAGTCAGTCAAGTAAAGCTTCCATGCAGTTACCAGAACTGCCATCTGAATGTCACTGAAGGTATGATTGTGCATGTGAGTGTGACATATGACTGTCCTGTGATGGACCAGCATCTCTGCCAGGATGTTCTCTATGCTGTCTGGGATAGTATCCAACTTCTCCACAACCCAGTACAGGATAAGCCAGTGAATGAATGGATGGATATTCTACCTTGACATATCAAATTTTATTTGCTTTGCAGAAATCATTTGCAAGAGGATTCCAAATAGTTACTATGCTAGGCATATACATGCTGGGTGGTCCCCCTATAATTGGCCACACCGCATTACGTATGGACAATATAACTATTACTGTAATAAAGGATTTAAAGAAACACAACCTACAGCAACTTGTACAGCACATGGGTGGGCTCCAGAAAATCCCTGTGAAGGTAATAAATATATTTAT